AATGCATGACGAATATCGTACTCGAAGTCGCTGCGAAACCTTCCGATTATCACTAGTGGAAAACCGACCTTATGCCTGCGAAACCTGCGAGCTATATCTTATTATTTTCGCTTAAATTATCAGTCCCTTGACTGAGTTGTAACCGGTCACGGGGGAATCTGCTATACGATCGAATTCTGAAAATCAAGCAAAATAGCTTTGTTCGATTGAAAGATTCGCGAATGAGTGGAAATATAAGTTGGCAACGAGAGAAGGAATCCTGAATTTCTGAATATGAGATTTCATTTTGAAAATGTACATAACACACACACACACTCTAAGGCCCGTTTACATTTGGGATTACTATATATAGCGCTGAAGCATCATATACAACATTCGGATAAATGTCTAAACTGATATAATGTCACTTTTTTGACACTTTACAGTTTGCACCCTGTATATCATCAAACTCTTCTTTAGTTTGTTTGTGCAGTATTATTTACCAACCCATTAGCTAGGCCTGCCACCCAGGCCGAAGATAAATATTAAATGTTATCTGCTCATTTCAATACCTCAAAATCATCTCACGCTTCGTTGAATCTCGGGTAACCGGGCTCATGTAAACAGCCCCTAAGTGACGTTCGGCCGTGACGTCACGTGACCGAAGAGCCTGCAGAGGGCATTAACAACGCATCTGCGAACGAGCGATAAAGTCGACAGCAGCAGCTTGTGATAGAGAACACCGCGGAAAAACGTCTGCGCACGCGTCAACTCTGCCTGTAAGTGAGATTAAAAATAATTAAAAAGCGGTTCCGAACGTTTCCGAAGGCTAAAAATGGCGGTAAAAAGGAGTGATTTCATTCGTGTCTTCAAATCCATATTTCGAGGGCATAAATAAACACTGCATTATAGAAACTAAGAGAAAAAACGTCCAGAGAGAACTTTTAATTGAGACACGTTTTATTAAAAAAAAATATGTCGCCAGATACGAGACGTTTGCGTGTTCTCAATGATTGAAAATTAAGATGTATTTTAAAATTTAAATATATTAGAAAGCTTAACTTTCCGCGGTTTTTTTTAACTTTTAGGTTTAAACTTTCGTTTTCGAAAAATATTCTAAAGCCACCCCGTTAAAAAAGGAAAATTTACCGTGAATTCCAGTTCGATACTCTAAATGCTAGAAGGCTTTTAATTTATGTTCTGTCTGGCCGTCTTGTATATTTTTGCCTTTTCTTAACTTATATTTCATCAAATAATGGGCATGTTTTGTTCCAAAAGTTGATATTTAGATTTACCATAATATTTTGATACTTCGGCGCGTACGCAGACATTTTTCCGCGGTGTTGTGATAGAGTGCTATAAGTAAATTTCTTTTTTTTTCTTTCTTACTCCTGTCAGGTACGTTTTTCTTTTGGCAGGGGGTTGTTAAGCTTGAGATACGATCTCAACTGGCTCCAAGTTACAGTGGTCGCTCCAAGACACACCCACCCCCCCCCCCCCGCGAACGGCAGAGCTAACACCTATTAAACCATCCAATCGTGTAAGTAAGGTAAACGAAGCTGTTAATCGAATGAATTTCATCTAATTGCTACCGAGCCTTAGCTAGGCCCTGTGAAATATTTACAACTGGAAGTCTTAGGTCCACAAAACATAATTTCGTCGGTCGGAGTAAATAAGTGTTAAAAAGGCATTAACAGTCGCAGTCGCGATAAACAGACGTGTCGTTCGAAATAAACAGACAATTATAGTGTTCAGGTGTTTAAGTTTGGAATAAGCTCATAATTTAGTTCGGAATAAAGTCATAAAAAGCCAACTATGGCGTTCAAACATATATTCGCGACCTGTTGTGTCAAGGTCGCTATGCGGAAACAAAAATGAACCGATATTAAATTCGGAATAAAGTAGTAACAGACAACTATGGCGTTCAGACATATATTCACCGTGCAGTATAGTCAGGGTCGCGAGAATCAAGAATAAACAGACGTGTGGTTCGAACTTGTGGGTATAAGATGGCTAACCTAATATCTAAATGTCTCCAAATTTCCAATGCAACAAACTTGGCAAAGTTTAATAAACGTGGTGAAATTACTGATGAACAATTTGATACTCTAAAACCTATCCCAGCACATTTTGACAGGGCACATGCTTTGCCAAAAACCTGCAAGAAATTTGCACTCTACCTAAATTTCGGTCTTAAAGATCTGCAAAGTTTCGGAGCTGACTAGCATGGCGAATCCAAAGTGACATTTCTGCAAGAAGCAAAGCCTCTATCGCTACCTACTAAACATTTAAACTGTTATTTGCCTAAATATGGAGTATTATCGTTTAAGGTGGCTCCCTAGGGTTTTGAGAATTTTTTTAAGTGCATGTTTGATGATACAGAATTAAGCACCAACATTGTAAACTATAGATTGAAATTAGCTTTAACGTATTGAGTACCATGTTCGAAATAAGAAAATATTGATTGGCCAATCATAGAAGCTGTTGCCATGGCAACAATGACGTTTCAATATGGCCACCAATTATCATTAAATTACGATTATTTTACAAACCCTTCGGTGAAATGTCTTCTTTTTCCACTGAACATTTTTCCAGATAGTTAGTAATTGACAGGACAATTTTAAGAAAAAGTTATCGATACAAAAAAAATTAAAGGGGGAAAATATGGTTTTACGCAATAAAAAAAAATCCTATCGATAACTTTCTTTTAAAATTGTCCGGTCGTTTACTAAATGACCTGCAAAGCATTCAGTGAAAAATAAAAAAAATTCACCGAAGGATTCACGAAATAATTGCAATTAAATTGTAATTAGCGGCCATGTTGAAACCTCGCTGTTTCCATAGCAACGGCCTTCATAGTTAATCCGTCAACAGTTTCTCATCTCTAAAGTACTCCACAATATAATCAAAAGTATTATTGATCTTTACTCTGCAATATTGGCGCTTAATTCGCAACAAGAAACTTACTATCTAGAATTTTTACAAAACTCTAGGGAGCCACCTTAAATGAACTATAATTTGCTTTCAATAAGTCTTATCTCAGTCTTGCTGTACACTAGTTATGACTTTAAAGAGGCGAATTTAAGTTTCAACAGCGCAAAATATTTTAATATAGTATGCATTATATTATATACCTTTTTTTAAATGTATATATTACATTTAAGGGAGAAAAATGTATGTAAAAGCTGTGAATGCACACTTAGTTCTAGAGTCTAGACTGCACCAGTACAATTATGTTCACCTCTTTAATGTCACACTTTTACCCTGACCTCCCAGAAATTTCTGAATAAAACTGTCATGTCTAACATTCATCCAACTTTTAGGTAAAGATTTGTAATTCACATCTGCGGCCGCAATTTTTCTTTTTGATATGAACTTTAGTAATTAATTTAGTTTGGGTTTTGTCCTGGCAATCTAGGGTCTAAGGTTCAGGATCGTGGATCGTTGCTCGAGCCAGCGATTTCCCACAGCGCGAGGAAGGGCTCTGAGATAATCTAAGCTAGAAGCCGGAATTTCTGGTTTGTTAATTTATTTATTTATATCTTGTATTAAAACATTCACGGTGCGAACGACCAAATATTATCTATTCTAAATTTGTCTAACCCAGAGCTCTGTTTCATCGCCAGAGGAATTCGCGAGCTCGAGGAACGAGTTTGGAATGACAAACGAAAGAAGGAAATGAACTATTTGGTTGTGATGAATTCGAATTTAGCAGTAAAATCATTTTCTACATTTAGATTGTTCTAAAACGTTCCTGCATGATCAATCTATTCATTTGGCTCGATGCAAGAATTGTATGACGTAATTATTGTTGGAGGACCTATGGGTCTCGCCGCCGCTTACGAATGTAGTGTTAAAGAAGGAAAGAAAGTTCTTCTCCTCGAGCAGTTTAACAATTTTGCCAACGCACACGGTTCAAGTCCTGGATACAGTCGACAATACCGCATAGCATATTCCGAAATGAATTTGTGCGATCTTGCCCTGAAAACCTACGATATGTGGATGAAGCTCCAAAAAGAGATGAACGACGAAAGTCTTCTTCAAGTAACAGGTTGTCTCTGGTTCGGTGATTCCACTGTTGAGAGTAGCGAGGGAAACATTGACCAAGCAATTAAAAACCTCAAGAAACTTGGCCAAGAGGAGGGGAAGGATTATATAGTTCTTGAAGGAAAGGAAGAAGTTATGAAAGATCCTAGTTTCACATTAACGATTATTACGGATTCCCAAGATTTCAGGTTAAAGATGCATAAGCTCATTCAGATGCATAAGCTTATACTTATTTTTATGATATAATTGTAACTATTTTGACACTAAAATAACATTACTAATTTAATAAATCTGACTCGTTGAATTTTTGTCACTCATCACAGTGTTGCAAAGTTTGAAACTTTGAAAACACTTTGCACTAAATATCAGGCTTACGTGGCTTTATGTGGTGTTCACAAATGCTCGCATTATATTATAATACGAGTACGGATCCCGTGTTTTCAGCATTGAACATATTCATTGCTGGTAAAAATGTTCAAAGAATTCAAAAGCTTTCGGCTTTGAGTTCTTTGTTGGGCTATCGATTCGTTCGAGCCGCTGTAGAGCAATTCGCCTTAAGTCTTCAGAAAAAGAAAAAGAAAAAGAAAAATTCAGGAGAGAGGCCGGAATGTAATTACTAATTAATAGTTTAATTCATGTAAAGCTAATATTTGAGGTTAACGATTTGATCGTTTCTGATAAAGGGGCCTGCCTCGAAACGTACGTTATAAACGTTATTTTCTGTCCGTATAGAAGAGAGAAATATGGACTAGATTGGAAGACAAATTATATATTTTATCAAGATGGGGTAAACGACACAAAAAAGTTGGTTTAGTAAAGAAATTAGCCGAGGCACCTAAAGTTGACAAATACGAACATTCAATCTAAATCACTCTCCCTCAAAATAATATCATAAATCCATTCAATTTATCCTTCCCTCATACTCATATCCCATGCTCATTAACTAAAAAAGTAATTATGCTGTATCTTTAACCATAAATCTTTAATAATAAATTATGCTTTTAGTTAATCTTTCCCTCTTTTCCTAACTTCACTCTCTTCATGTGACGTGCATAAACTTGATAGGCGGATTTGAAGCCACTTTCCAAAGCTTCTTGAATCCAGCCAGCCGTAAATGATATGTTATCGCCAGCAAAATGCACATTTCCCATTGGTTCCCATAAATATCTGTCAGTTAAAAAAAATTATATTTGTATCACAAAATACGGTAATATCGAAGAAACCATTTTTATTCTACGTATATCTGGTGTGCCTACCATTTACCACCTATAGGAATGGGAAATTGCACTCGAAAAAGGAAATAGTTCAAGAAATTTGCATCGGAAAGTTTGGAAATATCCGATGAAACTCAGTAACTGCATATTACGATAGGTGATATAAGAAATGCAGTTTACAGAGCAAGAACTACCCGCCACGACCTATTTTTCAGGCAGGGAAATTGTCATCCAATTCTTAACCAAAACTAATCGTCTTAAACGCAAATGAAACCATAATGTTAGATCTGGTTCATAGGATAATTCTGGCAACAAAATGCGACAATAATAACGGCGCCGAACAACATGGGCATTACGGTGTATAATTACTGTAATACTCTTACGCATATCACATACCTGATATTGTTGAATTGAGTGGTCTTCAAGAGTCCATAGGCACCTTGATAAGAGGGTTGGTTGTACCAAGCATGGACAATGCATTTTTCAACTGCTCCTTCTATTTCAGGGTGGATTTCTGCAACTTGTTCCATGGCTTCCTTCTTTGCTTGCTCTTTTTTCAAGGAACCAAAAAGCAGTGCTTCATTTTTCCAGGTGTAAATCAGAATTATTCCTTGCTTGGTGGACGTGACATAGTCAGGATCCGGCTTCACGTAATGCATTTGACCGATGGGTAGGTTGGTCTTAGAAAAGCCACCTTTGATTGCATACTTCTCGTCTTCCCAGAATCTGGTTTTGGTTTGCAGGATAATCTTCGTGGCAGGTCCGGTGAACATGTCTTCAATAGCTTGCAGATTCTTTCTCAGGGCCTCGTTGTCTTTCGTGTTTGCTTGAATTGGTTCAAAGGTAATTTGTAGCAGTATGTTCACTTGAGTGGTGAGGATTACAGCCTGGATTTAAATTAGATAAATCAGAACATGCAGAACTGCAAAAAGACACAGTGAACACACGCTGTTTCTTATGCTAACTTTCTTCATTGCAATTTCATGCGTGTTACGATATAAAGACTTTCAGGTTACTTCACAATGGAATTTACAATTAAGAAATGACAGCTACTGAAAATGAATTCAATGAATCTAGAGAGAGAATATATTTACAAATATGATTTTTGGATATAATGCATGGGCAAAAAAACAAAAAACAAACAATGATTCGTGGAAGTTAAACGAGCTGCGAGAAATCATTGCATAAAGCTTTAACAAACCCTTGTAACTTAACTTGCCAGTAATGCGGATAAGTTTAATATAACCAGGGAGCAGCGGGGGAAGAACTTCGCATCAAATGTTTAATGTTGTATAACAACTCTCTAAATTAGGCAACACACTTTTCGACGTTTAGACCGAAGGCCACTTTTTTGTCTATTGTTTTGTTATACCACATTTAATAGAGATATGGAACATACAAATTAAAGCTAAAGATAAATAATTTCGTCGACTTACCCGTGCTTTGTACGTAATTTCTGGATCTTTTCCTGACGCGTAGCAGGTTACAATGACACAATCCTTGCTAGGGTCACAGGGCGAGGAAAAATAAGATATCTTGCAAACTTGTTGGTTATGTTTCAAATCATCAGAAATCAATGGCTTCGATCGTTTTGAACTGAAGAATGCTTCAGCTAAGCTGTGCATACCACCAACTAAGGTATGCATATCACGTGACCACCAGTTCCCAAGTTGATCACGAAGATACTGAACCAATGATTGGTCCAGTTGCTCTGTGTAAGAAAACACCGAGTAGCCACGAACTGCATCGTCGGACCAAGGCAAAAGGTTTTCAAGCATGTCAATGTCTAAGGAATCGAGATTATTACACCCGTCTTCGTCTTCGCTTTCCAATTTTGCGCGAATAACCTTAACATTGCTCTCCAGAAAGCTTTCCAATGTAAACTGGCTCCAAATGTCAATCCAGCGATCCCAAACTGCGATTTCCTCATCAATGGTGGTTGTTTTATTCAACCAGGCAATCAATTGATCGGTGACAACGCCGGTTGTCTTGCTGTAATAATCATCTAAATATTGTTAAAAACGAAAGAAACGATTAAACGACGATGATGTTTTAAACAGGAAACATAACACTGTGTATCAGGTTCACATCTAATTTTACTGCTGAAACTACTGAATATCATTGCTGCAGAATTGGACGCCCTGACAAAGTGTTGGGCCAATAATTATAATATTTTATTCCTAAGGCTATAGGTACTGAAAATTCCAAACCAATCTATGCTTGTCTTTCCGGAGAGCAACTACTAGTAAAAAGAAATGAAGTAAAAGTTCCGTGTTACATCACATTAGACTAGGCTGGGTCGTGAGTATCTGAGCACAAAAATCATATTCGAATCACATTCGAATTTGAAATGGGATATTATACCAATATTGTCAATAACGACGTCCTTTTCTCCTTTCTTCTTGCTTCCCGTCTTAATTCCTTTCCTCCAGTTTGGCCAAACAGTGTCGAAGTGGGTTTTTCCCAGGCTAAAAAACCGGTAAGATGATCAATTTTACTCTCATCACTTAGAGAGTTGATTCATATGATGAAAAATTCATCACCAAACGAGAAAGACTTCACGACAATGACGTCATTAAATTTTTGCTATGTGTTTAACCTTAGGACAATAGTGATTTCTCTTAGATGACATTGGGAAAAAACAATACATCAAACGTCTTTTCATACCAGTGACATGACATACCATCCACATTTTGACGAAGTTTGACATTATGACAAGGATATGACTCTACATGATATACTATGTGTACTACATGATATGCTACTGTAGGTCAATTTTTTTCAATCTAACATCACATACTTGCTGTTTTTTCCTTTAATCCGTAAATATTGGAAATGCCATTTTCATCAAAGTTTGGAAACTTTTTGATGCTTATTTGAAAGTCAGTGACGTATCCATCCGTTAGAAAATGCGCTCTATCATTTGGTGCCCCCACACCACCAGGTAATCTCATCGCTCCGGCTAAAAATATAACAAAATTTAAGGTATGGTAAGGCAAAGTTTCTTTATAGTGTTTTCCTTGTGAACGGGGCTAAAGTCTTTCTTTTAATTAGGTCATATGTGCTAATAAAAGTTCGATGACTTGGAGAGGCCTTATATACAGATTTTATCAGTTTTATGGAGGAGTTTGGAGAATAAATTACGTAATTGATGTTGACATTTGCCGAGAGGCGAGAACATGCGCACTAGTAAACTAGTTCTACACAGGGACTAAACTATATAGATGGGATAGTTGGGAGGTGCATATTCATTCATATATTCGTTCCAAGCAACGGATTTATTTTGTATGTATTCGCATTTTCAAAAGAAATATGTCGGGCAGAAATTTTATTTTTTGGATGACCACCAATTTAATTCCTGACCTCCAACTATTTTTATAAGAACGTTAGGTGGATTGGTGGTCGTGTTTGCCTTATAAAATAATTTCTACACTTGTGAGTACAAGTAAAAACTGTGTAAAACATTTTTACTTCAAAAGGAATTTGAGACTATTTAATCATGCGGAAAATAAAGAAGAATTTCGATCAAAAGAATTAATATGACGTTCACTAAAATATTCAAAGAAATTTGGTCTTTTTTTAAGCCTACCTTCGCCAAATAGACCGGGTGCAAGGCCTGCATCTTCCCCATAAGTGAAAACTCTTCCACCATAACGATCAGTCTGCTCCAAGATTTTCACATTTAGCCCAGCTCTCTTCAACTCATACGCTGCGGCAAGACCAGCCATACCAGCTCCAACAATAATCACGTCATATTCAACATCCTTTGGTGAAACAAATTCCTGTGATGCGCCTATTGTTGGAGGAGATGGGCCAGGTGGACAGTCGCCGTGTTCCAAATAGGCCGCATTCAATCCTTCTTTCTGGATCTTCAGCATAAAATCTTTTAAATAATCACTCTGTTGAATGACCTTGGTGGCTTGTTCTTTCATTCTCTCCTTAAATGGTTTCACTCCCTTTAAAAGGTGAGTATTGTTTAAAAGAAAAGATGTTGCCATTGTCCTAGAAAAGATACAATGGAAGACTCTGACATGTCAGCTTTTGAGACCTATAATAAAGCCCCCAGCTTGTCAAGTAATACACAGCTAATTCAATAAATTCGATCTGTTTATTAACAGAAAACCTTTAGCCACAGACTTTAATCTCGCGAGGCGTATTAGGACCATCCTTTTAGCAAATTTACAACAGACATATTATAGATAATTTTTAGAGACATATGAACGCATTAATTTTGTAGCTGCAGTATTTAATAGACCTTTCCCCTGTAAGCTTTTGAGTGCGCAATGTGTGACAGTATTTGATTATCAAGGTCATTACAATTTAAGTTGTCATTTCGCCATGTATATGTTCAGGAGCGATTTAGTTTAACGAAAAAGCAAAAAAAATCGGCAAGGTTTTTTTACAAAACAAAATCGCTTCTAAGCAGAACGATATCGCAACTCAAAGTTGATTGATAATCAACTACCGTCACGCATTGCGTGCTTGAAAGCTAAAAGGGGAAAGGTTTGTTGCTAAGCTTGACATTTTGCCTTTGTGCACTAGCGATGGTCAAGTGTTCAGTATTGAATATGAAATACGCACATATCGTCTTCAAAAGCCAATAAGCTCTTTTTTGGAATAGGCAAATCAAGATTACTTTTGCACGTAATAAGCCTGCTGTTATAAAGGGCGCTGAAGTCTGAAGAGCTTTCGTCTTTAAAAATCAAAATATTCGAATTACGAAACACCACGGCAAAATGTATAGGAAATCTAAAATTGTTTAGACAGTTGAATATTGCCCGTTTTAGACTTCCACAATCCATGTCTGCGTCTAATGTTAATCATCTATAAAGACCCGTTTACTCTACACTCCATTTATTGGCACGGCACGGCTGAAATGGGTACCCGTGCCCAATTCATCCGTGCCCAGCCTTCATTTTGGGTAGTCTGAACAGCGAACTCTAATGAAATTGAACACGGGTACACATTTTAGCCGTGCCGTGCCAATAAATTGATTGTAGTGTAAACGGGGCTAAAGTCTTTGTTTTTTAGGTCATATGACTGTGCAAATAAAAGTTTGATGACTGAAACAGGCCTTATATATACAGGTTTCATGCATCAGTTTTATAGAGTTTCTCGATGTGAGTAAATACAATAAAGAAAACAAAAACTGTCGAGTTTAGCTCCTGCCAGTGACGCAATGGTAAAATTTTGTAACGCATTTTCAAAACAGCATATATCCGATTTGATATTTGTCTCCGTATATCCCTCAACTGAATAAAGTCTGTATAAATTATTAACGGATGCTATTCCGGGTTCTACAGTCTCCGGTGTTTCTCATTACAATTTCTCATTCCTCGTTCCTTAACCAATTTTCTTTCCCGATTCCTCGTTCTTTGTTTTTTGAGGTTCTATAAGTTGCTATATATATGCATGTAGTGGCCATGCAGAAATGATTTATAGAGTATAGACCTAGCTGTTTCCTGTACTTTTGCAGTGTAAATTCACTTGGCCTCGCCTCTATCAGGATATCTACGGCCTTCGACAATTGATGCAAGTATATAGGTTAGATCTGCATTTGGGCTGCGGCAGCTGGTGGTTACGATTCGATTTATAGATAGTACGGTGAATTGTTCGCTGTTTAACAATTTGTGATATTGTTTTCAAACAGTTATAGTTCTAATAGCCCAATGGCTAATCTAAATAGTTTGTCACACAAGGTTTGTATATCAGTATATGTAAATGGCCAGTAATACAATGAAACATCTACCCAATATTATATTAGCAACCCGGAATTCACGTAGCAGAACTAAATACCAAAATTCTAAACTTTTCAGCCGTCCAAGGCAAAATAACCAGCTATTTGTTTGCTTCACAGTCTCTACTACGGAGTCATTCGAGATTAGCTTGAATTGAAGTAAACAGGAAGAGCGATATAAAGACAGAGGAATACAATTTCACATGCCTGAACGAATTTTCTGGTATCAAGGCTCCGTAAAGCACAAAAAGGATCTCTGTAAATTTGAACAGCATCTAATTGTGTTCAAGGAGATAAATGCCAAATTTCTGTACATTACACTGCAGAAATCAATAAGAATTGTACATTTATTACAAATAATACACTGTTATTTTCAGGGAGTTATTTTAACTCTCCCATTATCCTTTTTTAGTGGAGTTAAAAATTTAACTATAGTTTTGGAGTAAAAATAACTCTCTTTGAGGGGTTAATAATTTTTAGACCTTATTAACTATGCAGAATTAACTCCTTTTGGGGGAGTTAAGCAATCTAACCCTCTTTTATGAGTTATTTTAACTCACCTATTACCCTTTTTTGGGGGTGATAAAAATTCAACTCTCTTTTTGGAGTTAAATAAAATTCAAAATGGCGTGCACAAGAGGAGCGGGTTAATAGTTTATTATAAATTTTAGTCTTATAAACGTGAATTGATTTAACTCTGGAGTGAAAAAGGCGGAAAAGGCTTGTAAAAATTACGAATGTTTGTGCCACTAATATAATTTGACTTCTAAACCCTATATTTTAACTTATATCGCTTTCTTCATCCCGATGTATAAAGTTTCTTCCTACGGCATTTAACTTTTAAGTTCAAGTTTATAAGGCTGTTCTGTTCATCTGTATATCAAAGCCATTCCCCCATAAAATAGGGAAAAATGGCAGGGCTGACGATGATCTATTGATTATATATGTTATTTCTGGCTGTGAGGTCGTTATTTCCGTTTTCGAGACCGTCGGCACAGTTTTTTGTATCCGGGCCAAAGCTGCCGGTAAAATATAATGTGTTTATTTTTTAACCTTTGCCTTAGGCCTAGGGAAGTTTTCGAGACCGAGAGCACAGATTTTTGCCTCCGGGCTGAAGCTGCGGTATATAACGTGTTTATTTTTTACCTTTACATTATTGACTTCATGAAACACAAAAAAGCAAAAAAATTAGCAAATAACTATATAAAAACTATAATTTCTGCAATCTACAAGGCTACAAGCCATTTCAGAATTTTAATACGTCAACAACTCCTTAAAAGGATATCCTAGTCGGGAAACAGCCAATGAAATGGCAGATATTGTTACCATAGCAACTAAATCACGGCAAATTCGGGCAAATCGACTAGAAAAACAACGTAAAATGCAGCGAAAAAAGGAGTAAAAAATCCAAACTAAGACGTTTTTCGCGGGTATGTTTTTTATTTCTAACATACTTTTAGCCTTTTCCGGAAAGGTTTTTACACATTTTAGCCTTACGTTGCTTTGGTTTGGCCGTTTTATTCACATTTCACACCGGGCCGGATGCATTTCAAGCGGGCCGGATGCAAAAATCAATATTAAATAGGTCATTTTATCACTTTAAAATTTACAGTAATTAAAGTCTTTCAGAAGTAATTCATAATTTAGGGTATAGGAAGAGTATTATTGAGGTTAAAAGCAACAACTGATGTTAGAATTATTTAAAAGTGGGCTATGAAAAGGTGATCCTTCCAGACAATTAATATAGCAATTCAGAGCTTTTGTATTGATCTGTCTTTTCAAATATACAACTCACAATATTATACAAATGCATGTGAATTGATAATAAGAAATTTTGTGAGATAAATTTACCAATATGACACTACGAGAACCTTTCGCTTTAATGTTTTTAGTTTAATAATCTAATACACAAACACAATTCGCATCAGAACTCTGAAAGTAGAAATAATATAACTCCGATAGTGGAGTTACCACTGCTTAACTCCTTTTTAAGAGTTACATTTTAACCCCTAAATGATAGTTATTCTGACTGCAAAAACGGAGTTAATATTTTACTCCAAATATGGAGTTACTTTTAACTCCAAAAAGTGAGTTGTTCTGTACCTTTTTCCGTAACTCCTATTTTAGGAGTTAAAATAACTCCCTCAAAATAACAGTGTACCTACGAAAGTTTTAGTCATAATGAAAAATATTTCGGAAAACCAAAATACATCATTTATATCATACTCGGACATCCTGTGGAGTCACAAAGAAGTTTATTATCTCCTCCCATTTACGTCAAATGTATTATTCGCGATCGAATATTTGTGACCTTTGTTTCGCCATTCCAAGCCCCAAATCATATGATGAATGGTTTTGCTATTTTCTTTTCATGTAGCACATATACATATTTACTTCGCTCGGAAGCTTATAGTTGGATCCACCTAGCTTTGTATGAAAATTATAAGCGGATTAATCAATTAAATTACTCATGTAAATATGTAACTGCATGCAATAACTCTTATATCGGGAATAAACACATTGGTGTATTAACTGTATTTGGCTTCGTTTACACAGCAAGTTGCAAGCGGCAATAAACTTATTGATTCGCAAAAAGTTTAGCCATCCCTCCTAAATGTATGCGGCTGATTCAGAATTTTTACAAGAAATTATATATAACAACGATTATCACAATGATATTTTTTAAACAGCAATTCTTAAACAGGTCATACGTGCACAGACATGTGGTAAAAGCAGAATGAGTTAAAATGAATGTTGCTAGCGAAGCTAATTTTTTCAAGCATTTATAATTTAATAGCCCGTGCACCTCCGTTTCATGCATGGACTATTGTATGTCATCGATCAGTTAAAAGGCCGTATATAGCCGATTACACGCAAATCGTTTATGCTATCAGGTTAGCATTGATGCAAGAAGTATGCTACAGGATTTATCAACGCATACCTGAAAAATCTTCTCCGGTAGAATGTAGGTTCGCCAGTAGCCTAGTCTGCCCTCCTTCGAGATTGAAATTGAAATGAATTGAAAACTGATAATCTGATAAATAAATAATGAGAGTGGAATCAATGGAACGTGCGTACTTGAACGATTTCTCTGCTAATTAAATTTGATCAACATCAATGTTTGGACATACGGCCTTTGAGACACCTCGGGATGTGGGAGGTATCGTGCTAAGTACCACCTACTCACGTATATGATTTATTCCGAATAAATTATACATCGCTACTCCCTACAAAGCTTATACTACATAGAGATTTTGAGAAAGAAATTTACATGAGGGTTTACATGTATGTAATTATTCTATTAAACAAGCCATACGTGCATTAATATGCTTAACACAAATACTGCGGAGTTCGCAGATTCTTGCAATTGCACCGGGTGAACAAAAAATTATCCCCTTTTGAAATTTAAGATTTTATTAAAATTTGAATTATTATATCATGCATGCTCGACGGATGCGTAAAATTGAAAGCACGATACTCAAGGGGTTGATTACATGGAGTCTTTTCAGTCCGAGTGAGTTTACTGCAGTGGTTTACAGGGCTGAAAATTCAGCTAGCAGCTCGGTGCCCAATGCTATGAAACATCCATGAAAGAATATAAAAATTATTACGGCATTCACCGCGAGGCAGAAATAAACGCATTCCTGAATTCTGAACATTTCCAGTCGTATAGATATCAGTACTTATATCAGTAGCAAATATAATTTGAATTTATATTTTGAATGGAATGAAATTACACTGCACTGTATAATCTTTAAGTGTGCAACAATCTCGTAACGTTTATTTTACATCAAACTTGCGGAATTTAAAAAGCAAATTAAGACCATGCTGATGTATTTCGTCAAACAGTAAATTCTGCTTTGCTGCGTGTGATTAACGTTTGTCGCGTGTAAAATTTGATGCTAGAACGGCTGCATAAATTATACACTTACATTCCTTAAGGCATTAGTGTCCTGTTTGCATGAAGCGAGTTATGACAGTTATTCCGGCTAGGCGAGATAAAAAGAGCATCACATCACAACCTCGGATTAGTCTTTTATTATATGCAGTTTTCATCTCGCCTGTAGCGGGATAACTTGCTCCATGAGTCCATGTAAAAAAGCCGTAAGTTATATTGGCAAACTTGAAACAACACTGCAAATCTCTTATCAGGATTCACTGTTTGGTAAATCTTCCTTGCGAAGTTTACGAGTTTCCACGAACTTTTTTTTGCTTTTCTTTCATATATGGCCCGAAACGAGCACTTATGTCAAAAGTTTAAACTTTTTTCACAGCTTAGCTCTGTTTAAAAATAATCTGATTACATGGACACATATTTATGTTAGCTTGGGATAACCCTTGATCGGTAATAAGACTCGAACTATGTAGCTACTGAAAGGGTGTTTGGCTTTTTTATGGAGCGAGCTATGAGCTGCCCCGATTCAGAAATTTTCAAGAAATTTTGGCCAACTGCATGCCATGGATTCGTAAAAAAGCCTACATTCGCAATCCCCACATTAATGTATGATATAGTTGCAAGATGTATAATTATATGCTACAAGATTTATCAACGCATACCTGAAAATTTTCTTCTTGAAAATATCACACTGCGGTCAAATATGGCTTCACTAGTAGCTTAGTCTGTCCTCCTTCGACATTGAAATTGAAGTGAATCGAATACTGATAATCGAATAAATGTATAATGATAGCGGAATGGAACGTTTTCTTACAAGCAAAATCGCTTCTCAGGGACCGCGGATGGGGGGGGGGGAGGCTGGGGGGCTTTAGCCCCCCCCCCAATAATTTTATAAAAACATGTGATTCCTTTTTAGCGATTTTTATATGGCCATAATAATACGAATAAAAACTCCTTATAGTAAGTTGTATAATCATAAATATGTGTTCACTATCCGTGTCGGTAAACAATGTTTTCATTGAAGTGTTTACAAGAAAAATATGAATAGATAAGTATGGACCCCCCCGAGGGTTCACTCTTTCGGCTTCGCTACCCCCCCCCCCCCCAATCCAAAAACTGCTCCGCAGTCCCTGCTTCTAAACCGAGAGATATCGCCACTGAAAGTTGGTTGATAATCATATACCGTCACGCACTGCGCTCAAAAGCTCAAATGGAAAAGGTCTATTGAAATCTATATTTTATTATTTCAATGCCTTATTATTATGCTGAACCCATGGATGGCTAAAATTGAAAGCGAGATGCTTAAAAAGACCTGTTTACATAGAGCAAGTTATCCCAGCTAGGCGAGGTAAAAAGCGCATCACATCAGACTTAACATTTTGCATATAGTTTCATCCTAGTTAACTCAAAAATACACAGCCTTGATTAGCAAATTCTGTTCCTATAAGTCCATAACTACATTTAATTTCCCTCCATGACCTTCATAACAGAAAACGTACAGCCGATTTAGGTGCTTTAAGCGGATCACAGCTTTAATCACGAAGACATTTATAACCAGAAAATATTCCACCTTATTTTAAATTCTAATATAATAATAAAACATGAAGTAATGGTGTTAACCGCTGTCGAACTGTTCAAGGTCCACTGAACCATCGAATGAAGACTGTTTGAGCTGTTCCTCACTCGCGTTGCTAGTATCAGTTGCTGTATAATCAACTGCATCAAAGCTGCATGGCCTCACGCATATACATCATAGGCGTAGCGCGTTTCTGTCTTTAAATAGGTAAAATTTTGTCTTTTTAAAGAGGGAGATGGCGTCTCTAAGCAAAGAGTTGTTTAAATCAAAAAGTCTATAATGCACCTGTTTACATGCAGGATGGGCCAAAATGCCCTAGACAACGTTCCGGTCGTGCCCGTCTTTAATTTGCGGGATGTTTTATATTTTAAAGGTTTATATTAATAGAAAAGACCAAGAAATTGTATTTTTTTAAAAAAAATTGCTTATAATTCAATCAATAACAACTTATCAATCGTGATGAATTTAACTTATGTTCATGACCCATGCTAATTAACTAAGAAAGTAACTATGATGTATATTTAACCGTAAATCTAAAATCATAAATGCATTCAGTTAATCTTTCCCTCTTTTTCCAACTTCACTCTTTTCATGTGACGTGCATAAATTTGATATGCGGATTTAAAGCCACTTTCCAAAGCTCCTTGAATCCAGCCAGCCGTAAATGATATGTTTTCGCCAGCGAAATGCACATTTCCCATTGGCTCCCACAAATACCTGTAATTCAGCGAAAAAAGACTTTAATTATAGGACACTGGATCGTATCTGAGAAACCATAAAGAATAATTTTACATAAAAATCTACCAATATCCTGGATCCGCCACTAATAACACACACTCAATAGAGGGAAACAGAGCAAGGAATACCCGCCGAAAACACAAAAACAGGCAAAAGATATTACTTTGAGGGCGAAAGAAAATTATGTCCCACATTTAGCATCAAATGTGGTATAACAACTGCCTAAAATAGACAAAACGTCGAGAAGTGTTTCGCTAAGTTCTTTGAAGACAATGCCACGCTGCTCCCGAATTATATTTCCCATATTATTTTAAAATTAAGCAACTGATTTGAAACATTTTCCAAGTAACCTTTTCCATCACGGTCAACATGTATACTTTGTTGCGCCAGAGAAAGGTCCCTTTTTCCTATTATAATGGTCCCCCCACTCGAAATTCCTTAAAAGAGGCCATGAACGAAAATCCAACGCCACGAACGACTTTGAAGTCGTTTTATGCGGCTCATATTGAGTTCTAGTCATGAGGTTCGAAGTATTGTAAGCGATCAATTCACAAATCAATTAACTTTGTGTTCGATGGGAAAAGTTGGTCCAGCGTATTATCAGATCAGTGAAATTAGGTCGTATGATCAAAATTTTCTAAGGGAAAGTCATGCACAATTGTGGCATAAGTGCTTGGGTCTGTGGTCTCTTTTGGTGTCATGACTGACATCTCATTTGCTTCCATGCGACAGGTAAACTAGCTTCGTTATGTTTTCGGCAAAAAGACGCTGTGAAAGAAAGTTGAAGGCGAAGAGACACACAAGTATTTGCCCCGGTTGTCAGGAATTAAATAATATGGCACCTGAGTTACGTAAGAGGATATATTTTTTGGTTGGACGTTCATACGTCAGTTCAAAAATTCATCTTTCCAATTACATACCTGATATTGTTGAATTGAGTGGTCTTCAAGAGTCCATAGGCACCTTGATAAGAGGGTTGGTTGTACCAAGCATGGACAATACATTTTTCAACTGCCCCTTCTATTTCAGGGTGGATTTCTGAAATTTGCTCAATGGCTTCCTTCTTCGCTTGCTCTTTGGTCAAGGAACCAAAAAGCAGTGCTTCATTTTTCCAGGTGTAAATCAGAATTATTCCTTGCTTGGTGGACGCGAGATAGTCAGGATCGGGCTTTACGTAATGTATTTGCCCGATGGGTAGATTGGTCTTCGAAAAGCCACCTTTGATGCCGTACTTCTCCTCTTCCCAGAATCTGGTCTTGGTTTGCAGGATAATCTTTGTGGAAGGTCCTGTAAACATGTCTTCAATTGCTTGAAGATTCTTTCTAAGAGCTTTCTTGACCTCTTCGTCAGGTCGAATTGGCGCGAAAGTGATTTGTCGCAGTATGTTCACTTGAGGGGTGACAATTACTGTCTGAATACAAACAATTTAAATTACACACAGAATTTAGAACTGAAATTAATACATCAACATACACTTAGTCTTTCTTTAATTAGGCTAAGTGATATTATTTCCCTCCCTAATTTAATGCGTATTTCGATAAAAATTTTGAATAATTATTATGACTTTTGTGATTTAACGCACGTACATGAAAAATGCCAGAATTGATTACACAGATTTTTAACAAATTCTTGTAAATTAACTTCACATTTTTAGTGAACGTCTCTTTTATTCTCTTTTATGATCATTGTAATTTAACAGACTCACCCGTGCTTTGTATGTAGTCTCTGGTTCATTTTCAGTGGCGTAGCAGGTTACCATAACGCAATCCTTGCTAGGGTCAGAGGGCGAGGAATAATACGAAATCTTGCAAACTTGTTGGTTATTTTTCAAATCATCAGAAC